TTACTAATGGCTGTTTAGAAATATAGATATTAAAATCTAAAATAGCATTTAATAGAAGACTGATTTAATGAGCTCTTCAGTTTTGATCTTTTGCACCCTCTGGTGGCCAATATCCGTCATTGCATGAACTGATTTTTTTTTTTTTTTTAGAAGGTTCAGGTGATAAATACGGAAGAGGATTAGGGCCACTGAAAAAAAAAAAAGTTAAATGATTTTTTTTTTTTTTATTTCAGTATAGTATGGGAAAAAAGTCAGAATTCTGACTTTAATCTCAGAATTCTGACTTTTTTTATTGTCAGAATTCAGTCAGAATTCTGAGATTTCCCATGTTAAACTGAAATAAAATGTAAAAATCAGTTTAATTTTTTTTTTTCAGTGGCCCTAATCCTCTTCCGTAGATAAACATCCTCTGACCTGACAGGCTGAATATTACCTGGAACAAACTCTGCTTCAGTAGCACCATAAATGCACTACTTTGTGTAGAGAACAACATGTAAGTTGTTTTCTCTTTTTTACTTTAAAGACAATAAAGTTGTAATAGCAAATCCAATCTGTGAAAGCAATTTATCTAACTAAAGGAAAGAAAGGACTTAAGCTGAATGTTTTAATCTGGTTTCATTTGTTGTAAAATAAAGCCTCTCAGTTTATCATGCAGGCAAATAGTGAGGAACATAAACTGAGGAGAGATGTTGCTATCACTCAATGAAGATCTACCCCTGTTCACTTCCTGATCAGGGTTTGTAAAAGTGCTGAAACCCTTAAATTTCTTTAAATCATTATTAAAAAACTTGATCAGAGTAGTTTTTTTTAAAGTCCAACTTTCGATTTAAGTATTTATGTTCATTATTTGAATGCCTTTAAGCCACTGCAATGTACTTTTCTCTGTTTTCTTTTTATATCTGTTTCTTCATGTAAAGCACTTTAAATTGTCTGGTCACTGAAATGTGCATCGTAAATAAACTCGCATTGTTGGACAGAAGGTTTTGTAAAACAGAGAAACTTACATTCTGGTTGATCTCAGATGTATTTATTCCATTTAAAGTCTTTGATAATAATACATATCTGAACATTTTAGACCTTCAGCCCTTTTGGCCTCCATTCTTTAAAAGACAGCTTAAGGTTTTTTTGCCTCACAGCTCGGTCAGCTTGGATTCCTCCTAGATCTTCAATCAGCATTTTTCATGGCTTGCGACAAATGATCAAATAGATTAAGGTCTGGTCTTAGACTGGATCTAACACTGATCTAAACCATCCCTCCTGTAGCTCTGGCTGTAATGTGAGACGCTGCTTATAGTGAGACAGTTGCTGTCTCACTTTAAGGTCCCTCCCTGTCTTCTGATGTCATCAGCAGCCTCCATTCATCTTTTCTTATCTCTATTAAAGCTTTAGTTTTACCGCACTCAGAGCGGGACAGAAAGAGACCGAACAAACTGGTGAGAAAGGCCGCTTTTGTCCTAGGCTGCGCTCTGGACTCGGTGGAGGAAGTGGCTGAGAGGATGATGCTGTCCAAGCTTGCATCCATCATGGACTACACCTTCCACCCTCTGCACCAGACTGTAGAGGAGCTGATCAGCTCTTTTAGTGAAAGACTTTTTCACCCTGTTTATAAAAAGGAGCGCAACCGCAGGTTATTCATCCCTGCTGCAACCAGACTCTACAATGCGACGCTACAACAGCAATAACTTGTGCAATGTATAATGTGCAATTATTACCTAATACACTGTGCAATAACCTGTTTCTTTACATTTGATACCCAGTGCAATAACTATATATATAAATATCCATCCATATAAATACCATTGTAAGCACCCTGTGCAATAACCCTGTATAATGATGCTACTATAAAAAATAAAAAAAAAGCTGTGATATGTGGAGGCATTGTATATACTTTATATATCCCATGCACCTTTTTCTTCCTTCGGCACCCTCTTTTTCTTCTTTAACTATTTGAGTCAATTTCTCGACTGAAGATCAATAAAGTCAATGAAATAAATGGGAATGATCATTCTTGGGCTGCAACGATTATTTTACAAATTAATTAATCTGTTGACAATTTTTCCCCCCAGATAAATCGATTGATAATCGGATAGATTGGGAATCTTTAAGAAAGACTTTTTAACAAATTAAACCAGGTGAAACTCAAACTTTTCTACTTGAGGAGTTCTGGATAGTCTCTGTGCTCCAGTTAATGATTAATCGATTAATAAATTAGTTGACAATTATTAAATAATTGATTAATCAGGATTAATCTGATTGTTTCAGTCCTACTGCAGTCAAACACTGAAATGAAACTCCTTCATGCAGAACTCCACGTTTTGAGGTAAAACTGCCAACTTCATTTTATGTTGCTGGAAAAATATCAACAAAGTTCATGAACGATCAAATGCAGACACATAAATACCCAAATAAAAACAAACAGAAAAACCTTTAGATTTGGTCTCATCTGACCAGATTACCTTCCTTCATGGTTTATGCTAAACTATAAATGGGACTTACTTTGGCTTCCTTCCTCTAACGCTTCCATAAATGTCAAACGTGTGGATTTTACAACGATTAGTGATCCTGGCAGTAGATTTGCCCTGCTGAGCTGCGAAGCTCCACCAGTTACCATGGGAACCTCTTGGCTATTTCATAGATTACTGACCTTTTTTCAGTTTAGGAAGACGGCCCTGTAGGTGAACAGTTCTGCAATCCTATTTCCCAGTCAGATGTGAAGAAAAAAACATTTTGTCAAACTTTGTAGTTTGACTAAATGTGGGGGGGAAAAATACTCTAAACATGAGATTCTCCTTTACCAGTTCACCCCATAGCCACCTGCGGTGTCGCTTTGAATGCAAGAGGCTGTATTTATTTTACAAACAAAGACTTGGTTGGAATAATGCAAATATCAGTGCAGAGCAGCAACGTCGAGTAACACTGTCCTGCAGCTTTTGCATGCATCCCTTCTTCGACACACCTGAAACAAATGAATAGTTAATGGCCAGGCCTCTGCTTAACATACAGACATGCCAAGGAAGGAATTTGGCCTTTTTTTTCGAGGTGTGTTGGAGCAGAGATGCATGCAAAAGCTGCAGGACATTGGCACTCTGATGTTGGACTGATGTTGCCTTCCCCTGGTGTAGAGTAAATATCACAGAGCTTTCCAGATCTTGGAACGCCGCTGCCAGTGAGATGTCAGGGGAGGTGGAGTTTGCAGATGGAGGGTTTGCTGTGTGAGTTAATGGGAGTAGATGGCTGCTTTCTGAACCTGCTGAAGGATCTGCTGATTTCAGCCAGACGGCAGCTCACAGCGCACCTTCCAAACCAATTAACTTCATTTAGAGGTATCAAAGTTAAAGATTTCCACAAACCTCTGAAATCCTGGGTATGGTTTTAGACCTTCCGTTCTTAAGTGATACATACTACCAACATAACCTAAATACAAACGCCCTTTAAATATCACAACCACATTGATTTTCATTCTATTAGAATGACAACGATGTTGTGCCATATGCCATGATTATTTTTGGATATTGGGAGCCAGTGTCCATGTTTCATCTGGACATGATGACCAGAGAAGGAAATAGTTTTGGTGAATAACCAGTTGTAAGATCTCTCCACAGGACCTCCCATAGAGGTGTGACTTGCCAGCCCCCTCTATGTGAGGACAGAGAAAACCACAGAACAAACCGGATCTCCTTCTCTTTTTCCCTCTCTTTTCCCATGGAGCTGCCTGACCTGCACGTCGACGCAGGAGCAAAAATGGAGATCCGGGCCCAAAAAGATCCAGACCTCCACAATCATCAAGGATTCAATCATGATGGTGACCTTTCAGAACCAAACTGCTGCAAAACAGACTGTTGCAACACATTTCTCTTCAGTTTCAGAACTTATAGAGCCAGACTGGATAAGAAGCCTGCCTTGATGTCAGCCTCTGAGACAGAGAGAGAGCTTGACCTGACTGCTGAACTGTGGCTGGATGAAACTCAACTTCCCAAATGGACATGGATTAAAAAAAATATTTCCAGGTCTGGCATAATTACGGACCGAAAAAAACAATATGTCCTTCCATGATGTTGATCATTTCACGTGTTTACTGATGGGTAAATTCAAAGCTAACAGAATGGACTGCATGCTACGCTATGCCATACAGAAACATGTGTTGAGCTGTTGTTGAAGCTTGGACAAGCTTTATTTCACTAAGGGTTAAACACTGATATAACATTAGTGTTCATGTGTTCTTAAGATGCTCATTACATCTCGATTACCAAGTCTGACCAAGAGTCATTTAGTTGAATCCCGATGTCTATTCGCTGCTAGCTATTTTAAAGAGGGTAAAGAATCATTTGAATAAAGGTTTTTGGTTCTTGATTAATGAAATAATTTAATAAAACAGTATTTGGCCAAATAATGTTTTATTCAGCTCATGGATTTGCATTGTGAATTGGTCTGAAAACATTCCAATTTCTTTAAAATTATTGAAAAGCTGATTTGATCATATCCCAAATTCTTCCAGATAGACTTTGGTTTCAAACACAAAATCCATCTTAAAAGTAATATGTTTTTTAACCATGTTCTCCTTCCTCTTTGTACATACTTTAGTAGTTTAGTTTAGTTGAGTTTTACTAGTCTTAGTTGAGAGTGTTAAACTGAAATATGTTTGACTAGGAGCTGAATGATTTCTGTTAATAAACTCTTATATTTTGAACCGAAGTTGTGGTGAATGTATTCCATGTATGTGCAGAATTAATTGTCTGACCTCGATAAAGGCTCGGATTACTCTTTCGTTTATTGTTCTAACACACAGCTAGTAGGGCGTGTGTTCATAAACAATATATAACAGCCAAAATAATATCTGATTATCTGATATATACCACCCCTACCGGGGAGTGCACTAAACATCTTAAAGTATCAGAAATAGAAATTCCCAGCTGGATGGGAATTGAATAAAAAATAAATCCACAACATTAATGTGACATCCTACCTGGATGGGCATTGAACATAAAATCCCAACAATGATATAAAACCTGATTATTCTCCTTTTATTCAGTTAGGAGCACACAGACACCGACTGCAGCCTTTAAAGCAGCCATACGTTCACAGGTCCCACGTTGCTGAAGGAAGCTGTAGGAATCTCTGATTTCCTTCAACTTTTACTGTGAGTTTAAAGCAGGAATTATTACATTTATTACTTATTGAAAATAAATGTTTTAATTTAAATAAATCTACAGAAGACATCCTGTTAATTCCTACAACAGACCTGTAACTTAACAGCGCTGCTTGAGCAGCGGTGGCCTCATCACCATAACCTGGGTGCAGAAGTCTCTGCTTGTGAGATTCTGTACAAATAAACAGGGGAATATCCCCTATAAGTGTTGATCAGGTCCCTGCGGTGCTACTAAAGCCATAGTTCATTTGTTTTCCTTTCTTTATATTTGGTTCCGCAGCAGCAGGTCCATGTAAAAAAAAAAAGGTTCTTCTCCATACGGCTGCTCCACAGCTCTTCATCGTAAGTAATACTCAATGGCTGCAGAGAATGCAGCGAATCCACCACATCCGAGGACCCCAGCTTTCAGACCGGCTGCAATAAGGACAGAAGAAAAAGAGAAACGGTTGGAAGACAGAAAGAGAGCCTCGTGTGGAAAGAAAGCATCGAGGTGACCTACCACGAAACCCTATAGCCCCTCCGGTCACGCAGCCGCTGTACACCGCATTCTTCCAGTCTGATTTACCTCTGTGCTGCAGAGCAAACAGATATAAAAACAAGGATGGTTAAATTTTATCAGTACATTCTACTATAGGTCAAAGGTTGAGGTTCTTTTCCCTTTATTTGCATTTGAATTTCAAGTGGGAATAATATTAAATCCAATCAGCAGAGGGCGCTGGTTAATAGCAATGATCAAATATCTTAGTAAACTACGTGGCTGGAAATGATAATATACCAAACATAACAATAGTGAGACAGAATGTCACCACCTGTGTCCGTTCTCAATAAGTGGACAAACCAGGAAGTGATGGCTCACCGATTCTATGATGCACTCGGTGCAGGAGAACATGGCGCCCACAATAGCAAAGTTCTTGGCGTAAGACACCCCCCTCTGGCCCATGTCTTTAAGGACTTCTCGAGCGGTCGGGGTTCTCAGGGGGTCCTTGGGGTCGAAGCCGACATTGGTATCGATACCGGCTGTAAACACGCCAAACGCTCCTCCGAGGACAAACCCTGTGGAAAGAGAAACGCTCTTTATTCAAATGGGACTAAACTAGAACCACTGCAGCTAATGATGAACACAGAAATGTAGAAGTGAGTGTTTATCCTCCTTAAATCCTTTTCCCTATATAGTGCATACCGGTATAAGATGAAGGATGGACTAAAATCACCTACAGCTAAAAGTAAAAAAAGTAAAACGTAAAACCTTTTTATCTTTTTATCTACTCTGACCAGCTGTTAAAGGGAATAGTCCCCCAGCATAATGCAACCACCACTGTTTTAGGGTGTGGGTGTTTTTCTTGGCACTTAAGAGTCAAGACTGTACGGTTCAGTTTTTTTCTAATCTGAGCAGATCTTCCACCACATTCATAGTATTATTATTTTTTTATGAACAAGCAAGGATTCTCATCTTATTCTGCCTTAAAGACCAGATTTGTGACCACTAGCAAAGCTAGTTACCATTCGCCTCTTAGCTCTGAAAGATTATTTGGATGAACTGATCTGATGCTTATATAGTGGTGATGCATCCTTATCATTTATGTCTTAAACTTGATCATCATGATGCCCTTAAAAAAAATGTTCTCAATCAAACCTCTGAGGCCTTCACAGAATAGCTGGATGTAAACTGAGATTAAATAACAGATTATTTAATTTTTTTTCAAAGTAGATTAATTCTGAAGTTAAGTGATTGCTCTCGATTTTATTTAAGAGGACATAGGACTATGTTTAAACGTAAAAAACCCTAAATGAGTCAATCCACCCTACATAAATTATTCGCTATTTTCTTTTAGCCAATCAGCTTTATACATTATAGCAAGGTAACTGGTAGGAAATCAATTTAATATCAACATTTTATTTAATTTTAAGTTATTTACCTCCAACACAGGCCAGCACAGCCTTGAAGGCGCAGCTCTCCATTCCCCTTTCTATCATTTTCTGCTCCTCGCTTTTGGGAGGCACCGGCAGACCCCCCATAACTGCGGGGTTCAGCTCTTTAACGGGCCTCTTCTCCCCGATCAGATGCTCCAGAACCAGGCTGTACTGGATCGTTGGACTGCCCATGCTAGGAACCGAGGAACCTGGACCTTTAGGCTCTGATCCAGCAGCATCTGCAGCTCCCGTGGAGGCCGCCATGTTTCTCAATGACACTGATTCAGGTAGGTGTAGTTTGAAGCCTCGAACTGCAGATTCGCGAAATAATTCTGCAAATTTAAGTTCGTGTTTGGTCAAAAATACTTATATGTAAATAATATTTTATAATCAAAGAAAGAAAAACATAAATTGAAGTATATGTATTTTTAAAGTATTTTTTTAAAGTCACGATTTCTCATCAGTACATTCGACATAAACGCAATTAGCGTCTACTCCTTCAGGATTAACCGGTGTATTATCCGACAAGAAGTCTTCACGATGCGATGTGGGAGGAGTTTGTTTTTAAAAATAAACATTTGTAAATGCCCTGAAGACAGAACGGATAAACACAAATAAAATATAAGAAAACAACAACAATGGATAAATGAATAAATAAATAAATAAATAATATAAAGTAATTTTGTTTTACTCCACAGTTTGCAATTTATTATATTAAGTTAATTAATTTGATTAATGTTTTTTTTAAGACAGTGTTTTTATCAGTTTATCTGTAAGTTGTTTTTTTCTTAAAATTTAGTGTATTTTCCTTTTATTTGAGCATGTATCTAAATATTGAAACAGAAAATGATTATTTACATTTAAAATAAGAGAAAAAATCCACTTTACGCAATCTTCTTTCAAGAGCCTCATATCTAACTATCTCATTCTAGGGGCAAAAATATTCATGCCTTTGGTTGATAATCTTCAATGCCTGCTCAAATAAAGGGCAAATACACTTATTTTAAGAAATTCGTACTTTTCTAAATCAGTTTTTGTTGTATACAGGTGCTGGTCATAAAATTAGAATATCATGAAAAAGTAGATTGATTTCAGTAATTCCATTTAAAAAGTGAAACTTGTATATTATATTCATACATTACATACAAACTCATATATTTCAGATTTTTATTTTGTTTAATTTTGATGATTACAAATGACAACAAATGAAAATCTCAAATTCATCATATCAGAAAATTAGAATATTGTGAAAAGGTTCAAAATTGATGGCCCCTGGTGCCACACTCTAATCAGCTAATTAACTCAAACCACCTGCAAAAGCCTTTAAATGGTCTTTCAGTCTAGTTCTATAGGCTACACAATCATGGGGAAGACTGCTGACTTGACAGTTGTCCAAAAGACGACCATCGACACCTTGCACAAGGAGGGCAAGACACAAAAGGTCATCGCTAAAGAGGCTGGCTGTTCACAGAGCTCAGTGTCCAAGCACATTAATAGAGAGGCGAAGGGAAGGAAAAGATGTGGTCGAAAAAAGTGTACAAGCAAGAGAGATAACCGCACCCTGGAGAGGATTGTGAAACAAAACCCCTTCAAAAATGTGGGGGAGATTCACAAAGAGTGGACTGCAGCTGGAGTGAGTGCTTCAAGAACCACCACACACAGACGTATGAAAGACATGGGTTTCTGCTGTCACATTCCTTGTGTCAAGCCACTGTTGAACCACAGACAGCGTCAGAAGCGTCTTGCCTGGGCTAAAGAGAAACAGGACTGGACTGCTGGTGAGTGGTCCAAAGTCATGTTCTCTGATGAAAGTAAATTTTGCATTTCCTTTGGAAATCAAGGTCCCAGAGTCTGGAGGAAAAGAAGAGAGGCACTTCATCCACGTTGCTTGAAGTCCAGTGTAAAGTTTCCACAGTCAGTGATGGTTTGGGGTGCCATGTCATCTGCTGGTGTTGGTCCATTGTGTTTTCTGAGGTCCAGGGTCAACGCAGCCACATACCAGGAAGTTTTAGAGCACTTCATGCTTCCTGCAGCTGACCAACTTTTTGGAGATGCAGATTTCATTTTCCAACAGGACTTGGCACCTGCACACAGTGCCAAAGCTACCAGTACCTGGTTGAAGGACCATGGTATCCCTGTTCTTAATTGGCCAGCAAACTCTCCTGACCTTAACCCCATAGAAAATCTATGGGGTATTGTGAAGAAGAAGATGCAATACACCAGACCCAACAATTCAGAAGAGCTAAAAGCCACTATTAGAGCAACCTGGGCTATCATAACACCTGAGCAGTGCCACAGACTGATCGACTCCATGCCACGCCGCATTGCTGCAGTAATACAGGCCAAAGGAGGCCCAACTAAATACTGAGTGCTGTACATGCTCATACTTTTCATGTTCATACTTTTCAGTTGGCCAACATTTCTATAAATCCTTTGTTTTTATTGGTCTTCAGTAATATTCTAATTTTCTGATATGATGAATTTGAGATTTTCATTTGTTGTCATTTGTAATCATCAAAATTAAACAAAATAAACATCTGAAATATATGAGTTTGTATGTAATGTATGAATATAATATACAAGTTTCACTTTTTAAATGGAATTACTGAAATCAATCTACTTTTTCATGATATTCTAATTTTATGACCAGCACCTGTAATTCTAAATACATTTTTAGTGGTGGAAGGGACCATAACTGATATGTCCCTTGGATCAATTTAATATTCAGTTTTATAATTCACTTTAACATTTAGTTAGAAATTACAGTCAGCTTTAAGCTCTGGCCGTATTAATATAGAATCAGCTGTATTTTTATCAGTTAAATCACAAGTCTGCAGTCTTGGCTTTGTGACTCACTTAATATTTTAAATGGTGCACTTTTGACCCTTTATTATTTTATTTTTTGTGTTTGTTTTTGTTTTGTTCTGTTCCCCTATTGGTAAATTTGGTCTAGAACCGCCACTGTGTTGCAACTAAACCATGCAAATTTCAGCCCTATTTGGGCCTGAGGCGTAACTTGCTGCAATGTTTGCTCTTATCTTTGAACGACTCTTGTCAGTACTGAGCTGAAAAGTCAATGTTGCTTAGATCAGAGTAATGATTCATTGCTTTAATCATCTGATATTCTATCATTTGTTCCTCAATTATGCTTGTCCTGACTCAGTTTATCTAGAAGTTAAAATGAACAAAGCAAACCTAACCAATGGACCGACTCCATAGTACGGGGTCAGAAAGGGGTCAAAATAATTGTAAACTTATACATCTGAATTGAAACTACATCTTAGTCAGTCAAGGTCGGACAGAAAACCTCTGATGTCATCAGTCTAAGCACAGGCTCCCCTCAGGGCTGTGTCCTGAGCCCTTTGCTGTTCACCCTGATGACAGATGACTGCGTCCGCAGGTTCACCACCAATCACATCGTGAAGTTTGCAGACGACACTACGGTGGTGGGCCTCATCAGAGACGATAACGACCAGGACTACAGAGAGGAGGTGGAGCAGCTGGTGGACTGGTGCAGAGATAACAGCTTGATTCTGAATGTGGAGAAGATGAAGGAAGTCATCGTCGACTTCAGGAAGAACTAGCTGAAGCTCGCTCCACTGCTCATCAACAGCTCAGCAGCAGAGGTGGTTAACAGCACAAAATTCCTTGGGGTGCACATCACAGACATCCTCACTTGGACAGTAAACACCACCTCACTGGTCAAAAGGGCACAGAGGCACATTTACTTCCTGTGGAGGATGAGTAGAGCCCACCTGCCCCCATCATCCTCACCACCTCCTACAGAAGCACCATAGAGAGCGTTCTGACCAGCTGTCTCACTGTGTGATGTGGAGGCTGCAGCATCTCAGACTGGAAGAAAGTTCGGAGAGTGATGAGAACAGCAGAGAGGATCATCGGGGCTCCTCTTCCCTCCATTAAAGACATTTCATCCCAGTGATGCATGTCTCGAGCCCGTAACATCATCAATGACCCCTCACACCCCCACCATGGACTGTTCTCCCTGCTGCCCTCTGGGAAGAGGCTTCGAAGCATCCGATGCAGGTCCCGAAACAGATTCTTCCCCACTGCCATCAGACTATTGAATTTTGAATAAAAAAATAAAAAAAAGCACTGAATGTTGGAAATACTGTAAATCATATCACAATCTTATGTTTACATTTGATCAACATGTTTACATTTGATCACTACTGAAATTTAAGAAATAGAAATGTCATTCGAGTTGTACAAAAAGAAATTTCGTTTTGTATGCACTCTGTCTATACAAAACGAAAATAAAGTTAGTCTAAGTTTACCAGTTGGAATACATTCATTTAGTGTTTTTGCAGAACTAAAGACTACATTTCCCAGAAAGCCTTTCGAGCACTGCGCCAAACCGTCCGGCGCGCGCTCCACCTCCCGGCTCCGGCTCAGTAGGAGGGTGACTGTTCCAGGCGGCGTCAGTAGCAGCATCAGCCGGAGAGACCCCGCCGCATTAGCGAACAGGTGAGGAGAACGAACCCGCTACATTTTCTTTTAAATCATCTTTACAGCTCGCTGCGGTTCCTCTGGTTTCCTTCAGTCCACTCATTTAAAATCTAAATATTTGAATGTTTTCGCTGTGTTTTGTCGGACATTTAAGAAGCAGTCCCAAGTTGCTGTGGACCGGCTGGTTTGGCCACCGATACAGGAGGAGATTCTCTGCAGCTCGGCTGTTTATCCTGTTTTTATTTTAGCATATTATTATGGGGTGAAGCTGCAGGGTAACTGGACCTGTAGGTGGCTATACTGTTGGACAGCAGAGGCTGAATGTTAAAAGTCTGCAGGATTAATGCTCCATCAATACATCCCACCTGCACTTAATCTATTATTGATTCTTAATCTGGCATATCTGGAGACATAATCCTAATAATCCTGATAGAATGATGTTCCTTTAGCTATACTGTGCTCACTTAACTTTTTAAGGCAGGTCATCCCATCTATTTTAGTGGTAATAGATACAAATCTCCCCATTTATATATAAAATAGAATCTAATGAAAACATTCGTACTTTTCTTTACTTAATAATAATTTATTTACTTAAAAATGTTTTATGTTTTAAAATGGGTGCCCCTAGTGAAGGTGTGTGTAAAATAAATAAATAAATAATAAAAAAAAAAAAAAATAAATAAATAAATAAATAAATAAAAATTACAGTTACATTTAGAAATTGCAATTTTAATTTGGGAATGTTATTAAATGTGTAAAACAATTGTCTAAAAAAAAAATAGAAAGTTACATTTAAAAACTGCCATTTTAATTTGG